TCCTTAGAATAGACCTCAGGCAATAGTTTTTATGTCACAAAAATATTAAAGAAGTGAGGTTTTGTGTCTTTCTGTTGCAAGGACATCAGATGGCATCCTCAAAGAGAAGTGCTTTCCTTTTTTTAGCAGAGGTTGTATTTGACATAAAATTCATAAAGACTGTGGGCGCCCATGAGTTCCTCTCAATGCAGCACTGAAAACAGGGATTCACTCGTGCCTCTCACACTTAATGTGATTTAAAAGTGACAGAGAGGACATTGCTGCTCATAAGATATCAGGGTGGGGGCAGCTTTAGCAATCCCCGTGGCATAATTGGGTATAATGAGTTACTTGCGCTGCTGTGAAGCAATTCTACTTTCATTTCTGCAGCGAAACAAATGAGCCCAGGCTTCCTTCTAAGCTAGTCCTTTTAGACACAGATTTGCGAATGCTAGGGGATGATATAAGACTAGAACAGATGCACTTAGCTTTGTTTAATTGTACAAAAAAATGGGTGCAGGCACAGTTTGCTTACCCCTTTCTGCAGATTTTTCAACAGAAACCAATGCTAACATGATTTATAGTTTTTGCACCAATTGGTTCAACTTTTGGCTCTTTGAATTAATTCATGGAAACATTACTGGGTGTTTCACTCCTCTATCGGATTGTGTCTCAGAAGGGATGGGTCCAATTGGGGGCATAATAAATGAATTAGCTTTCGGAAAAAGCTTGAAGCGCAAGTGAAAAGGACAGTATGGGGGAGACAGGGGTTTTAGTTGTACAGCTCAGTAGTGTTTGAAAGCTCTGCCTTCCAGCAACGTGGGTGGCACTGTTGTTCCTAGCATCTCTAATGTATTGTCATTGGCTCCATGCACTTGTCAGCATCTCTCTCTGCTCTCTGTCAGTATAAATGTTGGTTTGGTTTTATCTAAGGTAAAACGAGGCAGCAGAGATTTGTCATATTGCAGCAGCCTTGGTGTATGAGCTTGTGACACTATGGATGTCTGGGATGTTTGTCTGCTTTCAAAGTGGTTCAGCACCACCTTTCCTTCATGACATCTCATGCATCGTGTAAACAGAGAAGCAGGAAATAATACAAAGCAAAAGAAAGATTTCCCCTCTTTTAAAACCTTGTCTGATTCACTACACACACCCCTTGTTGTCCTTTATGTGCAGCCGAAGTGCTTTGGCATTAAATCTTTTTTTTTTTCCCTAAATAAACCAGTTTCTGGTTGGAATTACACACAACTTGGTGTGAGGTCTCTTTCAGGAAAAGAGGCCTGGATCCTTTTATCCAAAATGTTTTCTATTTCTGCTTTTGTAAGACACTTTTGACTGCTTTGAAAAGAGGGAAACCAGGTTTTTCTTGTGTTTCTGGGGGTGAGGTTGGGGATTTTTCTGGGCATTGTGGTGAGATTTATTCTAAGAGGCTGCATTTTTTCCTGATTTCTCCCTTTGTTCTCGGTAAGTAGTTCCAGCCCCCCCCACCACCATTTTTAACACCCCCACACACCCCCACACACACACTCATTTTGCGTGAATCTTGGTGCTTTTCCACACGGGGGTATGTATATGTGCGTGTGCATGTGTGCGAATGTGTGTGGCTGCAGCCGAGGCGGGGACTGGTGTGACACCTGCTGCTGGGATGAATGGGGTCAGTGGCGGGACCCTTCAGCAGGGAGCAGCTGCTAGTTCTCACTACAAACCGACTCCCTCAGCGCATCAAAGGACTACAACCGAAGCCCTGACACAACACATAGTGCCCTCTCTAGCATTATCTCCTATCATTGCAGTTATTATCCTGAAGTATTTCACCCCTTTATTTCTCCTGGGGTCATGGACATAATCGCCGGGAAGGAAACTTGAAAATGACCAAGGGGGAAACATCAAAAACAAACTTCAATTTCCCCTTCTGCACTCTCCCAATGCAGGAAGAGGTTAGCAGCCAGCTGCTGAAAGACAGGATTCCTGGTATTTGGTTGGTCTGACCTGTCTGTGCTCTCTTTCTGTGTGGTAGTCTGCCCTGCATGTGACTCAGTGGGTCTGAAAACATTCCCTCCAGGCATAAAATAAAGCAACGGCAATGGATAAACACTGAGATATGAAAACAACTGTCTGTTCTCCAGCGTTGTTTCAAGCGCCGACAAGTGCTTCGCATTGGTTCCAGCTGGTTTTCAAGATTAGTTTCTTTTTTTAAAAGACAAATTAAATGATTCTAACAAACATATCTTCCTTGATCTATCCAGCAGAGGTCAGCCTTTATTATCAAATTCTGAGGTTTAAAGTAACATGGAATGATGTAAATTATTAATGCATCCAATACAGCATTTCCATAAATTGTGGGACCATATGACCGGTTATATGCACATTTATGAATTAAATGGGGAAAAAACCTGTAACCTCAACCCTGCAAAGCAATAAGTGTCTTACGGTCTAATATTTTGCCAAAGGGTGTTTTGATCTTATTTTGAGATTGATACAAAGTCTGTTAGATTTATCTTCTTTTGAGAAGTTTCTACTCAGTTGAGGTGCAGAAAGACAAGTACACCTGGTAAGACTTCTTGTTTTGAGAATATATACCATGATTTTAAAAAGTCTATTTGAACTGGAAAAATTTTAAACTTATCAGACATTGTCTTTCACTTGAGGCAGCATTTATGCATGCCATAATTTTATCCTATATGTCATGCTGTGCTACTAGCTGGGGTTATGCTGGACTCTAAAAGCCTTGGATACAAAGGCAGAGAACTTCCACCACTGTAGGGTTCTAGAGTAATACAGATTTTAGAGTTTCTACTTATACTTCTCCAGGACTGGGTTGCAAGGGCAGCAGTCTCAGCAGAGACTCCAATACCTCCTCTCCGCAGACTACTCCTCCAGCTCTGCTGCGGAAAGCCCAAGGATCTCCTTGGCCAGCCCAGAGACATAGTGTTTGTGTCCTGGGTCTTCCCCTTGGCCTCCTCCTAGTGGGACATGCCTGTATCACCTCTCAAGTGACAAGATCAGGGGCCTGCTACCCTAGTCAACAGGACTCCTCCACTTGAGGAAGGAGCTCTACTCTGACCTGAATGGGACACAGCACCTTTTTCCAGTCTAGAACTATGGCCTTGGACTTGAAGGAGCTTAATCTCATCCCGGATGCCTCGCATTCAGCTGTGAACCGCCGCAATGCATGCTGTAGGTCTTTGTAGGAGGGATCCAGCAGAATCACGTCATCTAGACAAACTCTGCTGTCCCCAAACCAAACCTCCGCTGGCCCTTATCTAGAAATCCTGTCCATAAAGGCTGTGAACAGGACCAGTGACTGAGGGCAGCCCTGCCAGAGCCCAACATGCACAGGGAACATGTCCAACTTAATGCCAGCGATGCTGAACAAACTCCTGCTGTTGGGCAAACCCCCATGAACCTTGGAGTACCCAGCAGAGGGTGTAGAGCTGGTTCACAGTTCCACAGTCAGGACCAAAGTCACACTGACTCTTCTGCAGCCGAGGTTTGAAAATCAGCCATAATTGCCCTTTCCAGCACCCTGACAAAGGTCTTAATTAACAGGGGTAATGGTTTTATTGTGTTGACAGATTATTCCACTTGGTTTAAATAGAATCTTTTCAAAAGTATATTAATAATTGAACAAATACAAAAGCGGCAACAGAGATACAAAAGCCGCAACACAAAAACGTGTACACCTGGAGGAAGAGTGAGCCGCCTGGTCTATGGTTTTGGTGGGGACCAGTTGCGGGGCCAAGGTGGCCTACCGGTGGCAGGGCTGTCACTTCTGCTCTCCCAAAAGAAGGTTGGACGGAGGGGCGTGTAGTGGCTGGTTGAAGTAGTTTGGGGGGGGCGGCGGTTCTGGTTGGGTGGCCTGCGCGGGATGGGTGGGCCCCGGGGGGGCTCTTGCTGGAGGTGGTCCGGTCCGTGTGCGGGGTGGGGGGCCGGGCTCGAAGCAGGAAGGAGATGGGTCGGTGTGGCGGTGTCACTGCTCCCCTCCCCCAATTCGGATTTTAGGTTCACTTATTGGATCATCCGATCCAATAAGTGAACCTAAAACCAACCACCGGTGCCACCGGGTCTTTGGTCCTGGTATTATTGGATGTGAGTGTTATGTGTGAATGTGTGTCCGCGTTTTTTTTTTCTTCCTTTTTCTGTGGTGCGAGTGGGGGCACTAGGGAGGGAAGGCGTTATCGAGATTGTGAGTTTTTATTTTTAATTTTTATTTTTTTCTCCCAGGTTGGGATCTGAACTGCCCTCTCTCCCAAACACATCTCAAGTCTCCGCTAAGGGCGGAGCCCATTACCCCCATCAGGGCTCGCCGGTGCACTGGTGGAGCTCGGGGTTTGGGGATGGATGCCCGGGTGGCTACTGGCTCATTCCTGGCGGCCTCTTCGCAGGCCCGGCCGGCCGGGGCCTTTCTGGGGCTCCTGTCTGGGGGTCGGGCACCCCTGGGGCCTCGGATCCCTGGGGCCCAGGACCAGATTCACTTCAGCGTGGCCGTCCCCGCTGCTCCCCAGGGCGCCGGCATTGTGGTGGCTTGGGGGCTTCCTCGGGGCTGTCTCTCCTCCCTTGGTGGGGGTCTGATTTCCGGGGCTGGCCCCTCCTTGGTGTCTTCACTCTTGGGGTCCCTTTGGGCGTCTGGGGTTTTGGGTCTCCCGGCGCTGGACTCAGTGCTCTGGGGGGTCCGCCTCTTCGGCTCTCCACACCGCTATTGAGCATTTTCTCTATGGATAAACTTTACATGCACAAGTTCACCCTCACAAACAATTACAGGTGCTTGGTTCCAGGTACTTAGAGATTCACTTCCATACAGAAAGCCTTCATTCATATCTTCAGGTAACACAAGGTACATGTCACACTTAATAATACTACTTCAGAGATAGTTTCAAGGTGTTGCTTTATTGTATGTCTCGTACCATGTCTTTCAGTTGTGCTGTTCTTTTTACATCTCGTTGCAGGTGATGAAGCAGACTGAAAATGTTTTGTCATTGTCTCCTTTCTATTTCCTCTTTCTTTCATCTTTTCTCTTTTTTTTCCCCTTTTTCTTCTGTTTTTCTGCTCTATTTACATTGCAGTGTCCATATAAACTGTAAAACTCCCTGCATAATAATAATAAAAAAAATACGTGTACACATGTCTATGGTCCCGACCATTGATACGGACATCTGAGCGGGACAGACCACTCATAATTTGGCAAGTAACGCAGCTAATAGGTATGATCTTTAGATCCTTAATTACAACATAAAGAGCTGCACTGCAACATCTGTTGCAGGTTGTGCGACTTCCTCTAAGGCTTTTGTGTCTCAGTTGTGACTGATGGAAACAAAGTTTCATTTGTTCTAACATCTTTAGGCTTCAATTCAATACAGTTTTTTTATATAGTGCCAATTCACAACACGTGTCATCTCAAGGCACTTTATGGAGACGATTCAACCAGAGCATACAATCAGATTATTTAAAAGTTTTCTATCTAAGGAAAGCCAGCTAATTGCTTCGACTCAATGACTAGAAATCTCACACCAAGCATGCTCGTATCAGTATAAACAAAACAGGCTACCTTCTAAATGTCTAAAGCAACCTAAAGCTTAGACGTATTTCAATAATATGGGACCATAAAACTCTGAATGTGTAGGAGACCAGCAGATTTAGAGCAAATTTTTATCTGGAACATTGCTAAAAGTTTGTTGATGGCTACCATTAGGAAACTTATTTCCAGACATATTTGATGTACTGGAGTCTATTGCAAGGAAACTCAAAAAAATTCAGGAAGGTGTATGCTTATTTGGTTTCCCCTTAAAGAATCATCAATTTGTTTGAAATATCATTCCAAAAGGCATAGTTCAAAGCTTCATCAAAAGCCAAAATTAAAAATGTAAAAGTTTCATGGTAAAGATGAGTAGATTTAACCTTTACAGCTCCACTTAAGGACTTCATCTTAAGTGGATTTATTTCATTTTTATTGGAGCCTTTTGGATCTAAACCGCAGTGCGGACAGCTCTGGTCCTTTTGGACAGTCTGTAGTTGAAGTACATGGGAGCCTTAGACTGTGGAGCTCTCCTGGGCCGGCAGGAGCGTCCGTTGCCAAAGTGGTCCTCTAAGCAGCGACAGGTGTAGGAGCCCTCTGTGTTAATGCACCGAGCATGGCGGCTGCACATGTGATTTCCAATCAGACATTCATCCTTGTCTGTAGGAGAAGAAGAGCAGTAGATCAGGGATACCGATGCAGTTCAAAGCAGTTAGATCCAATGGCGGTTTAATGACAGGGGCCAACACAGGCCAATGCCCCTCTGGATCTAGTCCTGGCCCCTGTCTTGAAGACATACTTAACCACTTTCTGATGGCAACATGCTCGGCACAGAAACCATGAAAAACCTAAATAGATTACAATAATTAATACAATTCCTACAGGAATCTTACCTAGTCTGGACAAATAGTTTACTGATGTATAAAATCACCCTTCATAAAGCAAGAACAGCATATTTCTCCTCATTAATATAGGAGAATAAGAATAATCCTAGATTTATTTTTATAATACAGTTGACAAACTTACCTGGAACCATAGCTCTGTTGAACCATCAATTCCCCCTGCATTTAGCAGTTTTAAATTTTGTAGGATTTTTTATAGATAGATTGATTCTATTAAGGATAAGATCATTGGCACCCCTCTAAATACGATTGGTTTATCTCTGGATGGTGAGGGAGCATCTGAGGTAACCACAGAATCTGAACATTGAACTTTCAAAGTTAGCAGAACTATTATCGTCATCTAAGCTTTCAACTTATTAGATCCAGTTCCTACCAAGTTATTTAAGGTTGTATTCCTTATGATTTTCCACCTCCATTTTAGATGTAATTAATCTATCACTGTCACAGGGATATGTACCTCAGGCTTTTAAGGTAGCTGTAATTAAACCTTTATTTAAAGGTAAAGAGGATTATCTTATGATGAATGCAGAAAAAACAAACTTTATATTCTTTGAATAAGAAATATCCTGTCCAGGGGTGATGCTGAAAAACTAGTCTGTGTATTTGTTACTTCAAGACTGGAGTATTGTACATCTTTACCTTCAATAAGTCCACTAATTGTAGCAGGGGTGGATCTAGGAAATTTGGGGCCCTAGGCAAAGACAGGCAGGGGGCCCTCCGAATTGAGAAGGCAACGCATAAACCAGACCCATTATACAGATACAGAAATTTTAATAGAATAGACATACATTATTTGTTCTCCTACTTCTTCCTTTGTCCCTCTCTTCTTGTCCCTTATTTTAGTTTTTTTCTTTTCTATGTTTTGTACTTAGCTGACCTTTCATGCTCTAAAAAGAATAAAAGATTTTCTTCCAATCACTAAGCTCACTTAGCTGATTGTTCCTTCCTGTGTTTCAAAAAAGGCGATGGTAAAAGAGGCGAAAAGTAAATAACACAGTCCTAATTGCATAAAATAATAGCTGTATGATTCATGACAACAGATGAGACTGAGGAGAGCAGGAGGCGGGGTTATGAATCTACTTGCTCTGGAGAGCAGATTTTGGTGATTTTACATGTTGTTGACAAAGCCTCCTCTAACAGAAAAAAGTAACTAGATTTGGCGCTAGGCGCTTTATAGAAATAAAAGTGCTAGAGTTTTATGGGGCCCCCAAGAACTTGGGGCCCTAGGCAACAGCCTAGTTTTGCCTAATGGTAAATCCACCCCTGAACTGTAGTTAAAAGCCTTCAGCTGCAGCCAGAGTAAATAAAAAACATATAACAACATAACAACAAAATCATATATCTCCTATACTGGCTTCTCTTCCTTGGCTTCCTGTTTAATCCAGGATAGAATTTAAAATCCTCCTTCTCACATATAAATCCTTAAATGGCCAAGCTCCATCTGATATCAGAGATCTGATTGTTCCTTATGTTCCTAACAGAGCACTTCGATCTCAATCTGCAGGTTTACTAGTGGTTCCTAGAATTTCTAAAAGTAGAATGGGAGGCAGATCTTTTAGTTATCAGGCTCCTCTCCTGTGGAACCAACTACCAGTTTTAGTCTGTGAGGCAGACACTCTGTCTACTTTTAATGCTACAGTAAAAACTTAACTTTTTGCTATAAAGTCTACTATATAGTCCAAACTATATAGTGATGTAGGGATTTAGGGGTTAGGGCACACATCCGGGCACAGTAAGCTTGCTGAGTTGAGAGAACAGCAACTTTTAAACAGAGCGTGCACGAGGAAAAATGGGCTCATGCATGCTCTCGCAGGCAGGCTTTTAAGAAAGTGCTCTTAAATATTGTAAAAAGAAAAATATTACTTCTCATGAGAAACACTTTGAAGTACTCATTCATTTTTCTTTAACAGAAAACTGGATTCCTGCTGCTAACTTCGACACCTGTTTGAGAGATAATTTAGCAGAGCTCTCCCTAAAGATGAAAACAGAAACCGCTGCGATCAATTGAAGAGCTGAGTGTGTGAGCCATCACATAAACATGTTCTCTCTGGACTCCTGGCTGCAAAGCACATTTTCACACGATTGCTCCCTCTGCCAGTTAACACAGATAGGTAGAGCATGTGGGGGTGTGCTCTGATCATCTCAGTCATTTACAGCCTGATGTCAAACACATCTGAACATGTTCTGCAAACTCTGCAGAGCTGGAGGTCATCTTGACTTTTCATCTTTGATTTAAGTTGTGGGAACTGTGAGAATAGCTGTAAAAACTTCATTTGGATCATCAACCCCATGTGCATAATGAGACACTGGCTTTGTGAAAACACTTCTGAAACAGAGAGACACATTCACTGCCCTCTAATGGGGAAAAACCCACAGCCTTTGGGCTAAATGTGTAATTGTAGTCAATATGCTTTAATAATCTTAAGCTTTGCATTTGTTAATTGTCAACTCATACATACAGTGAGAAAAATAAATATTTGAACATCCAGCTATTTTTTAGGTTCTCCCACTTCAAAATCATGGAGGGGTCTGAAATTGTCACCCTAGAAGCATGTCCAATTTGTGAAACAAAATCCAGAAGTCACAATAAATGATTTTTTTAAACTATTTATTCGTATGACACAGCTGCTATAAGTGTTTGAATACCTTTCTATCAGCTAGAATTCTGATCCTCAAAGACCTGTGAGTCTGCCTTCAAAATGTCCCCCTCCACTTTATCCATTATCCTAATGCACCTTTTAGGTCATTAGCTGCATAAAGACACCTGTCCACTCCATACAATGAGTAAGAATCAAGCTACTAACATGGTCAAGACCAAAGAGCTGTCCAAATACACTAGAGACAAATTTGTACACCTACACGAGGCTGGACAGGTCTATGGGGAAATTGCCAAGCAGCTTGGTGAAAAAAGGTCCACTGTTGGAGGAATCATTACAAAATGGAAGAAGCTAAACATGACTGTCAGTCTCCCTTCGGACTGGGGCTTAATGCAAGATCTCACCTCATGAGATCTAAATGATCCTAAGAATGGTGAAAAAATCAGCCTAGAACTACAAGGGAGGAGCTGGGACCACCGTTTCCATGGTTACTGTTGGTAATACACTAAGATGTCATGGTTTGAAATTATGCATTGGCGTGGAAGGTTCCTCTGCTTAAACCAGCACATGTCAAAATCCATCCTAAGTGTCTAATGATCATTTGGATGAACCAGAGGAGTCATGAGAGAAAGCCATGTGTTTAGACGAGACCAAAATAGAACTTTTTGGTCATAATTTCACTAACCGTGTTTGGAGGACGAAAACTGAAGAGTACCATCCCAAAGAACACCATACCTACTGTGAAGCATGGGGGAGGTAGCATTATGCTTTGGGGATGTTTTTCTGCAAATGTTACAGGGCGACTGCACTGTATTAAGTAGTGGATGACCGGGGACATGTATTGCCAGATTTTGGGGAACAACCTCCTTCCCTCAGTTAAAGCATTGAAGATGGGTCGAGGCTGGGTCTTCCAACATGACAATGACCCAAAGCACACAGCCAGGATAACAAAGGAGTATCCCTGGAAGAAGCATATCAAGGTTCTAGTGTGGTTTAGCCAGTCTACAGACCTAAACCCCATAGAGAATCTTTGGAGGGAGCTCAAAATCTGAGTTTCTCAGCAACAGCGGAGAAAACTGACTGATCTAGAGAAGATCTGTATGGAGGAGTGGGGCAGGAAAAGTTTGACCTATGTAATTGCAAACAAAGGCTACTGTACCAAATTTTAACATTGATTTTCTCAGTTGTTCAAATACTTATTTGCAGTTGTATCGTAAAAATGAATAGCTAAAAAAATCATACATTGTAACTTCTGGATTTTTTTTTTTTAGATTATGTCTCTCACATTGGACATGCACCTACGAAGACAATTTCAGACCCCTCCATGATTTCGAAGTGGGAGAGCTTCCAAATAGCAGCGTGTTCAAAGATCTGATGTTTAACCTATGAGAATAAAGGACTAGAAGTTAGGAACACAAGTTACACATTAGAAAACTGAAAAAAATACACAATAAGCATTGAAATTTGTCTCATTAATCTCCATCTAACATAATTTCTACTATTATTGTAAAAAATTATGGTAGTGGAGTTTAAAACCATCTTCAACATAAACAGCTGGGGAGCTGAATGTTAGGATAAATCGATATAAAAGGCCCTTTCCCCTCTAAAATCATAAAAATAAATCTTTCAGATTTTAAGGCCATTTTTTTCAGTTTAATGAGATCAAAAAACAAACACTCCAGCTGCTCTAGCATTAAAAGGTTTACCTTGTGCCTTTGGTCAAGCATGATGAGAACCAGGCACAAGGGTGGACCTCTGGTGCTGTGGGTTTGTTGCTCTTCAAAGCTCCTGGGAGCCGTATCACAGTGCATGCAAGACTTGGACATACAAGGATATTTGGTTTGAAGATGTGCCGTCACCTATGACATATTACACACTAAATGATTTTCCTTTGGAAAAAGGCTTGTCCTAAATAATACCTATTAATGTGGCATGGGCATTTTCTTTTTTACAACAAAGGATTTTAAATTGGGATTATTTTTCACACTGAATAAATGTTCTCGAATTAACGCTTTTTTCCTAAAAAGATGATGCAACAGCAATAAGACCTTACTTTATTTAAAGTAGATATGTTAATAAATAAGAGAGCATTATACAAACTCAATGAATAATTAAACAACTCTGAAAATGTGATTCAGATGTTTGGTTAAAATAATCCGTCAAGAATTTTACGATAGAAATACAGTAAATGGTTTGAAAAGGTGTAGATATACTTAATGAACTTTTTACCTCGACACTCCACAGATCCCCGCAGGCTTCCCATCACAAAGCCATCTTTGCAAACACAAACGAAGCTGCCGAATGTGTTCTTGCAGGTCAGCTGGGGTGGACACACATCAGCCTTCTGACACTCATCTACATCTGAAACCAAACACAAACACTTAAAGTAGGCAAAGTGTGTCATGTCTGTTTCTTTTATGACACACTCTTCACTGTTCTTAAAAAAAGGCAGGACAGGGGCCCATAGGGGCCTCTGTCTTTGCTCAAAACAGCAATTTGCTTCAGAGACCCAAATGACTGCCTTTAAGGAGCAGCTTTGTAGTGAAGCTTTAAAAAGTCTTGCTGTAAAAAGACAAAAAAGACCAAAAATACCTACATGGTTCACTTGAGGCCACTTTAGGAATCTCCTCTTTCAAGTTGAAGTGATTTACTTTATTGGAATAGACAGCCTTTACCTGGAAAATTCAGTGAGAAGAAAACAGCTGTTCTATAGGCACCTGCCAGCTGTTTTATAGGGTAGGGGTTGTTGTTTTGGGAAGATAAGCTGTTTGGACTGACTTAGTCAGCCTTTTGTAAAGAGATTTTTTGGTCTACCAACATGGCGAAAAAATACCTGCATATGTGGTGTCAGTTGGAATCTATGTATGAAGCAAGCTAGCATTAGGCTACTGGATCAGTCCAAACCTAAACCAAATGGCTGTTCTATGACACCAAATAATTTCCTAATATCTAACTGGGAATACACCAGAGGATTCCTAATGGTGACTAAAGAGAGGGTAACACAATGACGGACATTGCATTGTGTGAGGACAGATGTGGTAAAGATAATTTTATTTGCTCGTCTGTTGGTCACACATATTGCTGTGCAACATGTTTCCACAAGTTCTGAATGCATGCAGTGCAAACAGAACAGAAACCTGTTTCTTAAAAAAGCACTTAGCTTGGTTACTAACAACAAACAGCTTTATTTCTCAGACTTGAAACTAAATGGAGCGTGAACTCCCTGAGATCTGACCTCTTAGTTATGAGGCAAACAGAGGAAACAGCAGTAATTCAGAAACAGGGTCACAGCAGTGAGCACAAAGCGGTGACTTCATTCTGACTCAGATCTTACTCGGAGCTGCTCCCACTGTGTGAAAATGTTTCTCTAACAGCCGTGGGTGAGGCTTGCATCATTATAGGACAGGAGCTGTCGGCTGCTGAGTTATCGGAGGTCACAAGCGGACACTGGGGACAGTCCACAGTTAATTAGAGGCTTCTGATAATTGGCTGGGTAGGCTACCACTATGATCACTGCTGCGGAGCGCTGAGAGAGGAAAACTGTTCTACTGCTTCTTTAAATCAGACATGGCAGAAGGTTAAATTGATAACCGTAATAAACTGCATTTAACCTCATGTGTTGGGAAGAGTTGGATTATAAAAGCGACAACATAGAGACAGTTTGTACAGGATTAGGGAAGCATTCATTCATCTCTCTGTAACCGTAGGCCTAAATGTTTTATAGGGAATTTATCTGACAGGCCAACAAAGAGAAGCTAACTGTATATTTGTAAATCAGAGGGAAAATGATACAGGTCTACCTGTTCCTCACCTCTGGAGATTATGGATTAATATTTGCATTGAAAAGAACAAAAAAAGTTGGTATGCTAACTGAATATGTCGATGATTGTAATGCAAAGTAAATAACCATGTCACTTTTTTTCAATGATATACAGAAAATAACTCTTAAGTAAAAGGTTAATGTCAGTTTTTGGAGTCTGTCTGTCTGTCTGTCTGTCTGTCTGTTTGTCTGTGTACAGGATAACTTGAAGAGTCATGGATGGATTTTAATGACATTTTTATCAGAGATGTCCCTCACGCAAAGGGGCAATCCATTATACCATGGTGATGATCCAGATCATAAACTGGAAACAGGAATTTTTTTAAGGATTCGCTAATATTATAAGATAGGGAATATTTGGCATGGCAGGCAGTTCTCCACTAAACCAGAGGGTGGCAGCAATGATTGTTGACACCGTTGGCATCTGACTCAAAACGTTTTACTGCGGACAAAAAGTTTAGAAAAGGGAACCTGCTGTGGAGATCAACTCTGTGTGTTAACCAGTGTGTTAAAAAAAAAAGAATACTGTCAGGAATCTAATGTGTATCAGGAATCCAGTTTGTGTGGTCTGTTTTTGTGTTTCCTTTTCTCCACCACCAGGTGGTGCCCTTTCCACGTTGGTCCTCCTGCACACCTGCGGCTCATTGGTTCATTACCGGAGGAGTATTTAAGCAGTGGGCTGTCACTACCTCGGCAGCACAGTGTTTGCCAGTTTTGGGTACTCTAGCCATGCTGAGATTAGCCGAGTCTAACCTGAGCCTTCGTACACTGAGTTTATCGTTGTTTTTTGTCTTTGCCTTTTGGCAGGAAGCCTTCCTGCAAACTGGATGTTTGGCCTTCTCCCCCTGAAAGGATTATTTGTGTTCACACTAGGCAGGGGAAAAACCTCCACATGTCCCCTTCATGTTCCTGCGGAAATCCAAGTGGCAGTCCGCTCCATTGCTCCTCAGAGTCCAACCCAAACCAATCTGTCCGCCCTCCAACGAGTTCCCCCCTTCTTCGGATAAACCCACACCAACTGGATTCAAGGACAAGAAACAAACGCCCTCAGACTTGAAACTGTTTTCAAGAACTCAATCAAATTTCTTATGGACCCTGAAATAGAGTCCTGCATTGGTCGAGTTTTACCAACCCGCATCCGCCCGAACCCGTTAGGATGACTACCGAACCCGACCCGTCACCCGCGGATATCTTCAATTCAAATCTGAACCTGACCCGACCCGTTGATATTTAACCCGCAACCCGACCCGTTAACACATCAAGTAATAGGCTATAGTACGCTGCGATGCAGAACAGCGCCATTAACACTGCAGCAGACGTGTATGCACTGACTGTGGCCTTTTTGGAGGGAAGCCCACACTGCCGGCAGGGCTTTAAGCTACAGCAAGGGTGACCCCAGTGCCTGATTAATATAACATTTCTGATGTCCATAACAACACACATGCATTAAAAAAAAAATCACCAACTACCCGCACGTACTAAAAAAATATCCACCCGACCCGTTTATTTTTATTTATGTATTTTTCACCCGCAAAAGAGTATTTTAGCGGGTGACCCATCAGGGACCCGCGGGTACCCAACCCGTTGCAGGACTCTACCCTGAACTCATCTCTGTAAACTTCCCTTCTCACTTCCAGTCCAGAATCCTACTCCTGTAGTTCACCTCAATAAACCTGTTAAACTTGGTTCTCTGAGTGCTTCTCTGCATTTGGGTCAGATCTATTAAAAGCATCATGACAATGTGTACTTTTAAACATGTACCAAAGTGGTACAATAGGTCTTCATAACATTGGAGTTATTTTAGATTTATTTTGTTGTATATTTTTACTGTTCATTACTTTTAGTTGGGATCATTATTACCAACAACTAATAAAAACATCAATTCAGTATTTCAAAAAATTAGAATATTGTGAAAAATTTAAATACTTACATTGTTTATATATTTTAGTTTTTGCGGCACTAGAGGCTCATTTTTTAGACAGTAGGCTGACAGGAAAGGGGGTATGAGAGAGGGGGAGAGACATGCAGAAAAGGACCACAGGTCGGATTCGAACCCTGGTCGGCCACGTCGAGGACTAAGGCCTCTCGCTGCGCCACCTGCATGCCTTATATTTAAATTATTAAATGTCTGATTAAAGTAAGACACCTGGTGTCTTACCGAAGGCCACTATCAGAGCAAGCCCCTTCTCATTGCTTCAGTAATCCAGGCAAAAGGAGCCCCAAGAAAATACTGAGTTGGTCAACATTCTTGGAAATTCTTTTTTTTTTTTTGCATTGGTCTTAAGCAGGGATTGACATTAACAATCGTAACTTGCCAAATGTGGTTCAATTTCAGCTGTGGCTAATAGCACAGCCAATACTACAAGCCTTTACAGTAGATGGTTGGATTCTTTTTTCTGTTTTTAATTGCAGTTTTCTCAAATGTCATCCCAAATAACAAGCAAAACTAAAGGTGACACTGCAACACTACAGCACTGCCTGCACACGGTGTTTGCTGATTGGTTCGGCCGTGACCAATGTCACTTCAGAAAGGTGGTCCCTGTGCAGAACAGATCTATATGCTGTTAGGTCCACATTCATACATACAGTCCAGAGATAAGACGAAAAAAAAAAAAAAAAAAACACCAACAAAAAAAGATAGAAAAAAGGCAGTTTAAAACACTGTTGACAACTTACTCACTTTATTTAGCAACTTTCAGGACTCTTTATAGTAAAGGGAGCTCCTTTACTATTGAGAAGTCTGGTGACATTGTTACAGTATGTGTTGTTGGAGACTTTGGTGAAAACACATAAAAGCAGTGATAGCTCTCAGTCTTTTTAAGTAAGGAGTGAGGGAGCGGGCCCCTCCCTCCCCTGAAGCCCTGTCAGGGAGTCAGACCCAGCTTTGCAGCCAAATGCCTGAGAAGTGGTTCTCCTTCTTTTCTCTTATTGAAAATAAGCCACATTGCATACTTTCCACTAACTGTACCCAAATTAAAAAGTAAGATGTAAATATAATATTAATCTTTTTTTTCTGGGAAGAGGCTTCGAAGCATCTAATGCAGGTCCAGCACATTCCGAAACAGCTTCTTCCCCACCGCCATCAGACAGCTGATTGTTGAAACAACTCTAAATCAAGTCACAGCCTCTGCATCACACTGATAACATGAAACCAAAACCCTGCATAATTGCACCATATATATTTAACGCTCTGAACTTCCATATCAATGTGTTTTTTGCTTTTTTTGCACCACATTTTTCCTCCGACAGTGTTTACATTTGTCCAAAGCAAAATTTAGTTTGTATACACTCCATGTAAACAAAATGACAATAAAAGTTGTCTAATTCTACTATTGGTCATCCCTTTATTTAATCTATGCACAGCCTCATCCACTCTGATCAATAGCCTCCACTGTTTATCAGTTCAATTTGATAGCATTAAATTTATTTATGTACGGTAGTTTTGCTTCTGGCAAAATATAATAGAACACTTAAAATAGGCTTATAGAGTGTTTTAATCACTTTCTGTTGATATGAAAATTTCTCTCTCAGCAGGATAAAAATGCATTTTTTAAAGCCCTCCTTTAGTTCCCTGTAACGCCTTTAACATGCAATAATAAAGAACAGTTTTTATTAAATATCTTTATTTAAAAGGGGCTGAACACAAAACCTTATTGGAATTGTAAACTTGATAATGACCGATAGGTAGTATTAAACATTTAATGTTGTTTGATAGGTGTGTAGCAATGAAATTTATATTTTTAAAAAGTTCTAAATCTAGCTTTAGTTAATTGTTAATTGCTAAATATAATCTAAACTGCTGAGGGGTTAGTAACTTTGAAAAACCACTAGCCACAGTGGCCAGTAGGCAAAAACAATCAATTTTATAAATGTGGGGTTTTCATTAGTCAGCAGTTATAATCATCTAAATTAAAAGATATAAACACAAGAATATATCAGTTTGTGTGTAATAAATAGATAAAATATACAAGTTTCACAATTTTAACAGTATACCTCGATGGTATTCTAATTTTATGACCAGAAACAGTAAATTGGACAGGATACAAATATATATTTAACATATTTTCAAATGATAAAAAAATAATGCGTCACTTTCCTTTCCCCTTTTGCAGCTGTTCTTCAAAAGCTGCAGTAAAACATGGAAATTTTAACTGACTGGTTTAGAAAACGAAACAACCATCCTGCAGCCAAGTTAATGGGTTAGTCTAAAAGAACAAGTTATTAAATCGAATTAAATACGATTTTCCACACTGTTGCTGATTAAATACAGCTATGGTGGACAGGCTTAGCCTTAACACCTTGTTTAATTTACTGGTTTGCATCTCATACCTAAAGTATAAACAAAACTTTAACTGCAGAAGATATCTTAGTGGCTCGGCAGGATGATGGGGATGAAGAACCAGATGTACGGTTATTATGTGTGAGAGAAACATGAGCACCATGTTCATTGTAATAACACTGTGTTACTCAGTGATATCTGTCTCCTACCTTCACAGTTCTTATCATCAGCTGCCAGGTGGAGGCCAGGCGGACACAGGCACCATAGTGTTCCCCATCTCTCCACCTGGCAACCAAACTGGCAGCGCAGAGAGAAACATGTGGTATCTCCTAGAAGAGAGAGAGATTGATCTACCATGAAGGAGAATCTGCACTATTTGGACAAGATCTGACACCGAATGATTTTCAAAAATAGTTTTTCTACTTCTCATTCACCACATTCAATAGTAGTTCTTTTTCTAGATTTCCCTTCAGTCTGACTGTGAGATGTATTCCTAATTAGTAGCACATTTTTTAGATGTAGTATTTGATTAAAAGGAGACTCTATTTACTGATGCAGGTGTATCCATCTGCTCTTAGGGTGTATTCCGGCTCACAGTAACAACGGTAGCTGCCTGGTGTGTTCATGCAGCGCTGGGAACACGGTCTCTTCTGCAAACCGCACTCGTTCACATCTGGAGTTAATATAGAACATCATTAACACAGTAGATAGAAATCCTTGCGCTAAATGATGCAGAAGGACACAGGTAATGGGTAAGAAATTGAAAACATAAGCCTGGCAGTAGTTTTAGAAATTACACTCCACCTTCATCACAGTGTGGTCCTCGATATCCTGTGAAGCACGAACACTTGTCTGGTCCCACACATTTTCCATTTACGCACGACTTCCTGCACACTGCTGTGGAGCAAAAGCAGCACAGCTGTAACCCACACCACCACGAGAGAGATGTTTTTCTTATACTGCTGAACAGTGAATGTATCCTTATTATACTTCTGGATAAGCTAAGTTACCTTATAAGCTAAGTTGGTGAATCCAACAGATTTAAAACACTTTGATCCTTTACTTGGAGTTGTGTATCTTAAACACACAATTACTTAATTATTTTCAGCTGGCTTTTTGCTATATGGGTTTGGGTGGGTAACAGAACCAGTAACATTAGAATCTATCAGTTTAGTACTTATGCCTGAGTGGTCCAATCGGTCAGTGTCTGACCTTGAGGTGACCAGGAGACATCATGTCGCAAGAACTGCGTCTTGGATTTCAAAGTATAACATACAGAACTCTACAAAATAAGAGCTTTTGTATTGACATATCAGATCATTAAAGCATAGGACTAAACCGCAGGTGGGTAGAATAGTTACCCCCAAATGTTTCTCAAGTAAGAATAGCCCTAATTCACCATATTTTACTCAAGTAAAATAAAAAGTACCTTTCCAAGTATTTATTTAAATAGAATTAAAATAGTATCTGGCAAATAAGCTGCTCAAGTACTAAGTAACTCATCATAACATCTGATTTGTCATATTTCTGGTATTTTAAAGACTATAATAAAATTATTGAAAATAAAAAAAGATAACGTTATTTACAAATAAGAAATCCAGACAGAGGAAACACTTTTCAAAACCAATTTTCATTTTAACAATACGACTTTGAAAATAAAAGCTTGACTTCCAAATATTACAGTAAGTTAGATATAAAGTAAGCTTTGACATCAACATCAACTCTGTAACTGTGTCTGGGGCATTGTTTTAATAAAGTAACTTTTTCATTATTTGGTGAAACTACTCCAGCTGGTTGGGTTAGCCAAACACTTTACTCAAGAGTAGCAAAATTGAGATATTACTCAATTAGAGGCAAAAAGTATGGTGCACTAAAAATACTCCTAAACGTATCTTTTGTGGAAAAAAAATAAAAAATAAAAAATTATTTTAGTGAACATAGTCAGCTACTACCCGATTTTGGGCCATTTATTTCAAAATAAAAGCCTCACCTTTCCATAACTATTAAGCTAAAATAAACATAAGGTAGAATTTCAGAATTTTATTGTAAAATAAGACATCAAAATTCAATCATTTTAACAACCATTTTCACATCTTTCATTTTGGACCACAGAAGGTGTCAGCTATCACCCTTGCAGCTTGCAGTGGTGCACTGCTTTTTTTATGTCTTGAAGATGTGAAGGCCTGGGTGGCCCTAAATTTTTCCAAACTCAATGAAGACAAGACAGAGGTAATGATCTTTGGCAGATCCACTGCTGATTCCTTGACCAGTCTTGGCTCCTTGGCTCAGTACGTTAAGCCGGTTATTACTAACTTAGGGGTTAAGATGGATGCTGGTCTTAAAATGGAAGCGCACATCAGAGCCGTTATAAAGTCCAGCTTTTTCCACTTAAGGCAGGTAGCCAAAGTAAAACCCATTTTATCAAAACAACATTTTGAAACAGTGATCCATGCATTTGTGACCACACGGCTGGATTACTGTAACTCACTTTATACAGGGGTCAGTAATTTGTATATTTCCCAACTTCAGAGGGTTCAAAATGCTGCTGCACGTCTTTTAACAGGTACACAAAAATTTGACCACATTTCCCCTGTTTTAGCTTCCTTACACTGGCTGCCAGTACATTTTAGTATTAATTTTAAAATTATTTTATTTATTTTTAAAACTCTTACTGGCCTTGCCCCTTCTTGTCTGTCTGAGCTGTTGCATTCTTATACACCCTCCCGTTCCCTCAGGTCAGCTGATCAGTCGCTTCTGAGGGTCCCAAAGTCAAAATGCAAGCTCAGAGGAGACCGTGCTTTTTCTGTGGCTTCTCCTAAGCTGTGGAATGATCTGCCTCTGAGCAGAAGACAGGCCTCTTCTCTCGCTGTTTTTAAGTCCCTTCTTAAGACTCATCTTTTTTCCTTGGCTTTTGGCACAATTTGAGAGGTTTTACTTTGTTTTATTCTCTTTGTCTACTAATTTGTATTTTACATTCTTTTTTTTATTTTTTATTTTATAATTTTATTGTATTTTATGATTGTGTACACCACTTTGGTCCTGTCCGGTGCATAAAGTGCTTCATAAATAAAGTTGGTATGGTATGGTATGGTGCCATCCACAGGACCAGGTGTTTCTGTTTCTAAGACTTAAGGTGTGTATCCTCTCCTCTGCTTGTTTTCTGAGCTGATACACTCTGTCAGCTGTGAGAATGTATTTTATCCTGGACCACGTTCAGTCAGTTCAATCTAGGTACAAAAGATTCTTGAGGATGATCAGTGGAAACAGAAGGAACCTCAGCTCAAATGTATGGACAATGCAAATGTCAATTGGAATGTTAATAAATTAGCAAAGAATGTGAAAAAAACTTCACGTGGTGTAAAAAGAATATTTTGGATAATATTTTCTAATTGGGCTTCATCATCACACAGTAGAGAGTGAATCAGTTTGATGTGAAGTAAAGGGTTTTTGCATGTCAAGTCTGGGGGGAGGCAGCACCTCCCGATGCCTCCTCAATTCACCCAGAAGATGACATTCATCAAAAACCAACTAGCTGTGATGATATTTAATCTTTTAAATACTAGATAATCCAAACATGCTCTGATGTGCTCATTAGCAGGGTCTTGGAAATCAGTAAAATCTTTGTTCATCCAACGAACAAATTTGGAGAATCGTCCCTCTGGTTGGGTTGTCACCGGTTTGCAGTAAGACTTACGCTGACAAATGTGGTTAGCTTTCCTCCAGCCAAAAAAAACAGGAGGCAGTTTGTCCAACAAGTCCCTGCTGTATTTGAGTATCTTCCAAGGGATCCTCCAACCGATGGTGGCGACTAGGACAAAACAATATTTGATAATTAAATGTTGGGAGGATCTCAATACATAATGTCAGAACAGAGTCATGCTCTAAAGGGGGGTTTCTCTCTGAAAGAAGTGAATTATTCCATTATAGTGGCGCATTTAGGGGCTAAACCACATGACAGATAAGCTGACAACAGCCAGATGCATGTCTCGCTCCGCCTAGCTCCACTCACATACATCTGGGAACCCGCCATAGGAATTGCCTTTACTGAAGGCTGGGCCTTATCAAAACTCCTTGCATATGATTGGATAAGCCAATGGTCTGTCATCTTTATCGACGTGCTATTTCAACCACTAACACCGAAGCTAACCCGTGACGCTGTGAGAGCTACGCAGGAAAAAAACAAAACAGAACAGCCGACATCTTGGATACAGCAACAGTGGAATCAGCGCAATGTCTGTAAATGATCAATGTCGTTTGTGCCATGAAAATGTGCGGATGAAAGGCAACATTGTGCACAGCACTTATTTTTAAAAAAAGAAGCCAACCAAAAAAGTATAGACGAACGACTTACAGAACTCGCTTCTCCACTACGTCACATGCAGGACACACCCGCCCTGCGTCCTGATTGGCCAGACCATAAATTCGTTTGGGGAAATCACTTTCAATGAGCGGTGTCCTGCGAGACATGCATCTGGCTGTTGTCAGGTTACATGACAGATGCTTTGCTAGCGAAAGGAACGCCGTCTGAAACGCGATATCGGTCTCAGATCCTGGTCAGACAGAAGTGCCCTGGAAAGCAACCATGATACTTGCTGTAGCTCCTTGTGTCTCTTGATTAGGAGCACCTCTGGAGGATCTGGTAGACCCAGGGATGCTGTTCTACTTCCCACATAATATGGGACCTTTTAAAGGACCCATATTATGCAAAGTTGACTTTAAAACCTTTTATAGCAGTCACATATGTCCTGAAGCCTGAGTATAAGATTTGCGAATAAAATAAAACTTTTCTTCTCTCACTGCCTTTCTCCACCTCTTAGCTAATCTGTGCTTAGAATGCTTAGAGCTTACATGCCCTTTATGAGGTCATTCGGGGAAAATCCCTTACCCCTTCTGAACCTGCCTTATAGCAGTCGCTATCTCTCTGCTCACAGACACTGTTCTTCCAAACAAGCATGGGTAAGCCAAGAGCTAAGCCTTTTAGCTGCTCCTGTTAATGTCCGCATCAACCAGACAAAAATCATTTTTTTCTGTCTTAATCTGATCCTCTAATAAAGACCCAGTAGATTGATTTTTATTTTTGATGGAAAGCTACTTGCTAAATTTCTGGAGATTTTGTATCTGTGTGTTAAGCATTTCAGAGGACTGCTTCACGACATTAGTGCTAACAAAGAGTTGGTCGATACCAACTATATTTTCCAAAGCAGGGGTCTTCAACGTTTTCCAGACTAAGGACCCCAAACTGATGGCGAGATGGAGTGGGGACCCCCTAATTATATATATTGTATGAAATTGTGTTCTATCAAACTGGTCCTATAGTCACTCTATTACAGATGGAGTCATGTAACGAAAGTAATTTCTCCCTGGGATTATTAAAGTATTTCTGACTCTGATTCCTGGTTGATGGGACAGGTGTTGTGGATGAAACGGTGCCCAGCTTGAAAGAGCTCCTTTGTGTCTCTGAATGTGTGCATTGATGACTGAAAGACATCTTTTGCCTCAATTTATCTGTTTACTACAGTGTTTTGAATTCATGTTAATGTAGATTTAAAGACATTTTAATTAGTGGAAAAAATTTCAGGGGGGAATATAAAAAAAAGGTTTAGGTTACAGCTATCCTATACCTGTTTGACCTCTTTTCTCTGGTTCATTTGTCATTTATGTTGAAGACTATCTAAAAATAAAAGACATGTTTTTAGATATTTTATGCGTCAAATCTTGATATTCTTTCTCTGACTTTTTGAAAAACTAAACAAATTTAGAGTCTATGTTTCTGTTCTTACTATTAAACTTATTGGAACAACAATAACAAAACATTTTTTTTATAATCTTCTAATTTCCACTCTTTTGTCAGATATTTGACTTATTTTTACTCAGAAACGCAGATCTGCATTGATGACTGAAAGACATTTCTGTCTCAATTTATCTGTTTACTTCAGTGTGTTGAATTCATGTTAATGTGGATTTAAAGACATTTCAATTAGTGCAAAATATTGCCCAATGGAATACAAAAAAAGGAGTGTAATCAAAACTTTCGCGACCCCCATGCAGTACATCTGCGGACCCCCTAGGGGTCGCGGACCCCCTGTTGAAGACCTCTGTTCCAAAGCATTAAACGTTATTGCTGGAAATAATACTTGAATACTGTGTGGGACTGCTTTGCCTGATAGGCCCCAAACACTTTAGCACTGCAGCTAATGTTTGTTTCCTTGGCTGTTTTGGTCAGCGGGTGTTTTTTATACGTTTGAGAATCTTCTCTGTTCTTCACATACAGTGTTTCTTAGCAGGATATCAGCAGTAATTCTGATTGTATTCTTGTGATAAATCATTTTTGGTGGTAGCAGCCCATTTAGTTCATTACAGTAGAAAGGTTCCATTAGCAGCTGAGGCTAAATGGAGGTCTGGAGCATAAGAGGAATGTTAATATTTTTGTTTTCAAAGGTAGTATAACAGGAGAGCCTAAATACAGCACTGTAACTCTCTCTGTAGGATCCATGTCTGCCATATTGAGTTGAACAAACAGAGGTAGCTCAAAGTTGTCCCAGTTGTCCACAGAATTGATGTGTGAAATGTCAAGCAAGCAACAGGGCACGAGTAATAAGAAAAACTCACTGTGATCGTGTTCCTTGTGAACGCATCAACAAAGACAATAAGTATTTGTTGATGCGATACAAGATATTTTTGTGATACAGTTAAATGTATTTATAGCTGTCAACAACCTTAAATGTGTTTCATAATACATTAAGGTTGTGTCTGAACGCCCGCCCTGACCCTGAAATCCCTACAAAGTGGACTTTATATTGAACTCATTTACCTGAGCGTTCAGACAGATGATCACTAATTTTTGCTCCCTGTTGGTCACGTAACTCTGGCTCCCCGCACACTGCCAGCACAATCTTTGTTCTTTCTCGCCCCCAAAACAAATCCTATGATGTTTTGCGAGGAGAGTTCTAACAAAGCATTCTGGGATATATCTGCTCATCTAGTGACCATGGTTGCACACTGCTTTTCAAGGTGAATTGTGGGAAATTTTTAAGTCCACTACTTTTTCCTCCACTAGATGTTCAGACACTCCTTTAAAATGGTGTAACCCCTGCAGAGCTCCACGTACGGGTTAGGGTAGAGGATCAGAAACAGTCTTAGAAAGAAGTCGTACCAGAAACAGAACCACAGAAATAAAAAGGGAAGGAAGCTGCAAAAGGCTCAAGGTTTTAGAGTCGTTACAGAAAGGGTTTTAATAAACTTAATACCTATATATAAGTATTATATATATAATATAAATGTTTTTAAGGCTTTTGCTAAAAAATCAATAAATTTGTCAATATTATGATGTGATATATATTTGAAATAAGGCAAAAACAACCCCTTATAAAAACAACATCTTATTTCAGAAGGATAATATCTAATTATCTTACTTCCAGTCAAAAATGCTCTTTCTTTACCTGCTCAAATTGAGGACAGATACTTTAATTTTAAGAAGTTGTTTCTTAAATTTGCATCAGTTTTTGCAGAGCAGTGGATTTAAAATCTACAAAGCTTCCTGCACTTTCACCTCTAATCTTACAGGCACCTTGTTGTCACTGTTGCATTGCAATATGGTGTTTCATCATACTGTGGTAAAAAAAAACAACTAAACAAACAACAAACATTCATCACCAAAGTACTTTTGGGTGTTTAGGCACAGTTGCTCTTGGAACTACTGTACCTAAATTCCATCTTTTACTTTTTAATTGATTTCCATTTTTTTAAAATCATAAATATCTAGACACGACTTTGATAGATGTCATTACCTTTTCTTCTCATCCATTGCTGAATATATTTAAATCAGGGATGATGTGTTTAATTTGTGATATTTTGACCTACTTCTGTCAGACAGGTTCTTTTTTATTTATTTACTTTTTTAGATTATTTTGATCTAGTAGGTTAAGTAGTAGTCAGGTCTGGATGAGTTAAATGAACCAAAGCCAAATGTGTAGTGGATAGGACTTAAAGCACTGAGTGATGCATTAAGGCCATCAAATGCTGCTGTATACAGTTAATAAGAAGGATTTTTATCATAAAACTTGATGGATAGGATATTACTGAGCTAAACATAAGAGATACTTCCTCTTAAATGTAGGTTTTGCTGTAGGAATGTCTTTCAGAGGAATATGATTTAGAACTTTTTCTTACGATACATATATACAAAAATTGTGTTTATAACATTTAATTTAAGAGCAGCAACCAAATCAGAGAGCTCTGAGAAACTCCTACCTCTTCTGGAGATGAACTGATGAGAGCAGAAAAATCTGAAGTGATACGAGACCTTTTACCGTTTTGATCATTTTCTTCAACCTTAAAACAAAGTTAACAAGTTAGAGTCCCCTTTCGGCCATGACCTTGTCACTGTCTGATGAACAGCTTGCTTTGTGTCTCCAGACGACTGGGTCAGAGGTAGAGGAGGTTCCTATCTGTTAATTGTAGGCTGCTAAAGCTACCTTTGCCTGAAAGTTCAGAGAAAAGTACGGAAGACAAAATGTGTGGCTTAGACTACAGGACTATAGACTATAATTTCCTGTTTGCTGGAGTTTCAATTCCTCCTTCTAACAGAGCTAATAGAACAGAGTCAGGTTTGTAGGTTGCCTGCTTTCATACCTTCTCAGTGAGAAACGTGACATAATTACATCCGTTTCCCCATTTGGTTCCCCATTTCCCCATTTACGCAACTTATTCATGAGCAAATTCATTATTCTATTTCCTGGTGTAGAAGGTATACCAGCCTGCATCAGGGTGTCTTTCTATCCTGAACCAGGACGTATATCTTTGTTCGTTGGTTGTTCCCTCAAACACAGCATTTAAAAGAATGTAGGCCCTGATGCCGGGATATTCATGTGACTTAAAACAGACCAGCAGCTTGAGATTCCAGAATTTCAAAACTGTTTGCGTTATGCAGATTGTGCGATAAAAATACCCCTTGCTGAAAGCTAGCTTTAGCTCGGGCACAGCAGCAGAAAAAGAGATAAAGGCAACCTGTGTCGCGGCTGGCTGTACCTCCAAACGGGTACAGGTGTAACTGCAAGAGTGCATCCGCTCCCATTTTCCACCTGCTTTAAAAAACATCACAGGATGAAGCCCCGATTGTGGAGCATTCCAACAGATGCTTTCCATGCAGAGGATAATAAACTGAACTTAGATACATGAAATAAGTATGTTTCTGTGACTATAGATAATAATCTTAAAACAATTATTGCTCTTAATAAATCAATAAAATGTTTAATCTCTCCCCCGGTTTTGTGCAGTTTGAATCATTCATTAATTTGCTGCTAATGTTTTGCTAAAGCAGAGAGAAGAAACATTTCAGTCTCTTTTATCACTTCATTACCTTTGTTGCGTTTGAGGCTAAAAGGAGGACGACTCCTACCTGAACAAAACAGGTGCAAAATGGTGCAAACATTGCAAAAACAAAGCAAATGGAAGGACTAGAAATAAGCAACCCTCCCAGACTCCATCCAGATCTACATGAAGATGTAGGCAGCAGCTTTTGTTTAGCACAGCTTTGGATGTGAGCTTTGTTTAATTAGGCCTTCATCTTCACTCTGTAATGCTTCATGGTTTTGTGGTGGTTTTGATTTGTGCTGGTCTCCTTAAGTCTTTCCTGACTTTACATTTTTATGGGAATGTTAGGGGTTTGTTAAAGTCAGTATGATTTGTGTTTGGTTTCATTCATGTGACATTGTTTCCTTATTTCCACTGTTTTGCTACAGTTTGTCTGTTTGTTTCTTTTTCCAGCACACAGAGTCCCCGTTTCCTAATTATAAAATCAGTTCTGTATCAATATTGACTCTCACAGTGTACACATGCTTCTAGGTTTTCCTCCGTCAGTGGTTGAAAATCTCTGTTTCTTCTGTGTTTGAATGTTTTTGGTTTTTATTTGCTTCTTTTTTCCTTGAGGGGTGAGATTGAATTTGGGTCCACAATTTTTTATTTCCGATAAACATTACCTGTGTCAAAAGCCCTGGATTTGTTTTCATCCCTTATACCGTTACACATTCATCGGGATTTTATGTTTTTGTGTGCTGTAAATTGCCAACCAAACAGGCAATGACTTCTAATCAGATATTAATTTTTATCTTAAGATATTAAGTGTTTCTTGATCAGAATGCTAGACAGAGAAAACTTTCCAACCTTTAGGTTCTGTGTGTTTTCTGAAGGCTAAAACTGAGATCTTATGGTCGGAAATAATGGCCGGCAGCCTCAGATTGGTGTCTTTGAAGCTTTAACTATTACCAGGACTGATCAGGGTGCAATCAGTTGTATTAAGCTCAAAGGCGGAGTCCACGTCTGGACGCCCGGTGGTCCACTCACTGAGCAGACACACACAAAGCACACACATGGTCATGTATCTCAGACATCAAACATTGACTTACATTCTCCTCCTGGAGGCTTTCAATTCTCATTTTAACCATAATCACTGCTGCCAGCTCCCCAAGATTTCCAAAACTTTGAAATGTGGTTTCACATTTAAAAACAGTCATGATTTATATCATGAAGGCTTTTTTTCCCAACATAGAAACTCATATCTATAATACGCAAACAGCATTTAACTCTAGTGATATCAAACATAAATAAGTAATAGACACTATTAGAAGTAAAGAATGAACAAATATTAATTAATTGTGGTAGGGGGGTTGGAATAACAATGTTTTTAAAGAACGAAGGTAAAACATTTAGTAGGAGTTTACAGATATATCCATTACAAGGGCACCGAACAGAGGTGCAAAAAATAGGATTCTAGTGGCCCAGAGATGCTCCTAATATAATTATAATGCTAAAATAAACTGTATGATGCTCAGTGTTAAACAATATATTGGTAACACAATAAAGGACAGGTTTGTTTTTTATGGAAATCAGAAGATTAGTCTACAGCTTATGTAATAAATTGTTGTATTGGCGAGTAAAGCTGAGCTTATAGAGATAAATGGGGTTGAAAGAGGAAGCTTGACTGAGCAATGTTGTCTCTTTGACATTTCTAAATATTTTTTGCTGAGGTTTACCCTTTAAAATGTGTTCACTTATTTAAAGACTGACTCCCAGTTATGGTCTGGCTTTAAATCTCTGCAGTGGTTTCACTTGTGGTCACCTTTGGGATAGCCTGATATATTATGTTTTTTTTTTTTACATGTTAGCTTACTTTAAATTATTTTGTTCAATAAATGATAGTTTTCAAAATACAATAAAATATAAAAGGCAACTGATCATTGTGTTTTTTATTGATGTTTCTGCTGAGACTTTATTAGATTAAAATAATATGTAATCATTTAAAAGAAAATAGTTAAAGAAACTGTTGGTTTTTAGAATATAGAGTATCAGTCTGGCTGTAAATAATTGAATCTAATTCAACTCATGGTATTTTCAATGCTTCCTCTACCAGGGTAACTGTCATGTTTTTTTCACAAACGTGGGAATGATAGCAAACATTTCATTAAGATGCAAAGATTTATGTAAACCAGTTTCAACATTTCCTGTCAGCCTAATCAGGGGGTCCCAGCATGTTATCACAGGGCCTAAAATTCCTGTCGGTGCCCAGGGATCCCATCAAACAACAATAGGTAAAGAGGTCAAGACAATGAGATAAAATCTTAGCAACATTTTTTGCTAAGGAATGAGCTACCTATATTAGTCCTGCAGGATCAACTTAATAAAGGACATAATTTGTTGTGGCCAAGTTTCTCTTTACTTAGGGGGGCAGATTTGGGGGATTTACAGGTGCTTGAAGGGACCAACAACTAATCTCTATGAAAAAAATGTCATTTCTTGGGGTGAGGTTTAGGTTTAGAACCAAGGTATGAATTGAGCTTAGGTTAGGGTTAGGGTTAGGAATGCATTGGAAACCTAAGGGTCTGCAATATGATTATGGATAATAGTAGGACACAATCTCTTGAATTAAGTTAGTTTGGTTAACCGTTTGATTTCCACTTTAAAAAGACCGGCATCATTACCTTTATTAAAACAAGTCACCTTAGTTAACACAGGTGGCGAAGTATTTTGTGGCACCACTGCATAGATTTTGTCCAAGCCTGTACAATTCGGTTAGCCTGATAAACCAGACTAAATGTGAGATTAAATGTGTAATTTAGTCTGGCCCCAATGAATGAGACATCTGAAGATTGTTCATAAGAACAACCTGTTGTTTTTCAAATCAAGTCTTTGCCTATTGGCCTACGCTCTGACCAATGAGCACAACTGACTGGGACATAGTAAGCACGACAGAAAGCTGGTGGGGGAGTGTAAACAGACAGCCTGTGGTTAAAACGGCGAACACGTCCTTCTTAAAAATGAATGAACGTAGAGCCTCTTCCTGCTCACGTTTCAACGAAAACCCAAAGTCTAATCCTTCCTAAACTAATTCCAAAGCTGAGTCAAACGAGAACTGTTCAATAGTTTTTGCCAATTTTCTTGTTGTGCTTTCTCCAGTGTTGCGCAGCTTTGTCGTCACACCCTCCAAACCCGGGCCACTTTGCATCCAAAAATTTAAAACACATCTCTGCGCTGTGATTGACCCGCCAGTTCTAGGGCCTGGGGCATTGACTGAGGCTAGACCACTCGCAGGCAAAAATGATTTTTGCCACTGGGGCTAGCTTACTAGGCTACAATTTGGTCCCAAGTTATCCTTCCCCATAACATAAGCAAACAGGAGATGTCACCTGAGTTTGACACCAAATTAGATCCACTTGTGGTGTATTCAAAGCTGCCTCCACAAAAATTAAGTTGGGTCTAGCCTGCGCATAAGCAATGACACTTCCCTTTCTGGCCTTGTATGCTGCATCCTGCACTAAGGTCACCTATGTGTTGACTTGTGAACAACCCCTCTCTAACTGTAACTGTTTTGGATACGAAAGTACCCTGTTCGATCTCCACAGCCAGCACTCTGCGTCCCTGAGCAAAACCCTTAACCCCACACTGCTCCCTGGGTGACACAATGGCAGCCCGCTGCTCCCAAAAAGGGATGGGTCAACATGCAGAGGGTGAATTTCTCCAGTGTGAGATTAATAACGTTATCATTATTATACTTGTTGGATCATCTCTGGAAACATTCACTCCCGAAATAAGGTAGAAATCCTTATTCCCTCTTTTTTGACAGTTGTCAAGAGAGCTTTTTCCACAATAGTACATGTCTTCATGAAGATAGATATTGTGAGTAGAAGGGGAACTTGTATTATATAAGTATTGAATTGGTGGTCAGCCTGCCACACAGCAACCCAATTAACCCCCACATGGAGCTCCCCATCTGAAATGGCACATGTAAATGTCATATCCCTAAAAACATCAGACCCACAATCTATGACATCACAAAGATGAAATTAAATAGTTACTGAAGTGCCCAGGGTGTAATTTAACTCCACACCCCCATATTT